GTAACCTACTAACAAGCTAAGGAAAGCATCAGATGAGCTACCTGTAACTTACGTTTCCCCACTTTAAAATGAAACAAACATGGTTACTCATCCTGCTGATGAGCTATCTTCACTGCCATTGAAGGCTCCAACGTGTTTTCTTTTCAGGTGCTGCGTCATAACAGTGGTGCTTCCGTGCCATGCTCATTTGTTTTTTACAAAAGTTGCATGTTACGACTTTTTTCACTTTACAAAGCGCAGGCTATTTTAATTATTGTGATCAATTTGCGCCGTCAATCCCGGGGCATGCGCGCTTCATTTGCAGTCTGGACGCTGAGGGTAAACTCCTCACTAAAATCCTGCGGCTCGGACTGCACGCTGAGAGGGATTCCTGTGGGAGAGGGAGAAAGGCGTTGGGATGGGGGAGGCGCCCCACGGCAGCAGCTGCCGCTGGAGGACAAGAGTAGGAACGATACATGCTTTCACGTAAGAGTCTCCAAAAGCCGCCAGTGACACCGTAAAAAGTCGCCAGATTTGTCGCTAGTCGCTTTTTAAAAAAATAGTCGCTGGGGGGGTCTGAAAAGTCGCTGAGTTGGCAACACTGCAACTGCGGCGCTGACTCGCTCCGCCATATTTTTTTTTCTTCCCCGGGATGACGGCGGCGGCGGATGACGCATTAATCGCGCGACACAACTAATCGATGATTAAATTCGTTGCCAACGCTTTTAAAAGTCGATTTTTATCGATTTTATCGATTCGTTGTTGCAGCCCTAGTCCATTCATTGGTCCATCCATCATCCATCCATCCAATTATTCATCCAACCATCCATACATCTACCATCCATCGGTCCATTCATTGGTCCATTCATCATCCATCCATCCAATTATTCATCCATTCATTCAACCATCCATCCATCTACCATCCATTGGTCCATTCATTGGTCTATTCATCATCAATCTGCCATCCCTCCATCCATCCATCTACCATCCATTGGTCCATTCATTAGTCCATCCATCATCCATCTGCCATCCATCCATCCATCCAACCATCCATTTACCAACCATCCATCCAACCATCCATTTACCATCCATCCAACCATCCATCCAACCATCCATCCATCCATCCATCCATCAAATTATTCATCCATTCATCCAACCATCCATCCTTCTACAATCCATCGGTCCATTCATTGGTCCATCCATCATCCATCCATCCAATTATTCTTCCATTTATCCAACCATCCATCCATCTACCATCCATCGGTCCATTCATTGGTCCATCCATCATCCATCCATCCAATTATTCATCCATTCATTCAACCATCCATCGGTCCATCCATCTGTCCATCCATCCATCTACCATCCATCCAACCATCCATCCAATTATTCATCCAACCATCCATCCATCTGCCATCCATCGGTCCATTCATTCGTCCATCCATCATCCATCCATCCAATTATTCATCCATTCATTCAACCATCCATCTATCTACCATCCATCGGTCCATCCATCCATCCAAGTATTCATCCATTCATCCAACCATCCATCCATCTACCATCCATGGGTCCATTCATTGGTCCATCCATCATCCATCCATCCAATTATTCATCCATTCATTCAACCATCCATCCATCGGTCCATCCATCCATCGGTCCATCCATCCATCCATCCATCGGTCCATCCATCTACCATCCATCCATCCATTCATCCATCCATCCATCAATATAGAGAGCTGTGGAAAAATGAGTAGGGAAAAGTATGTTGGAATTATTTTAGCATTAAAGATTTGTAGGAAGATTTGTTTGTCTAACAGCTCTGACGAGTGTGGTCCAGTCGAGTTAAACACAGCTCTTGCCAATGCTGCATTTTCAAACTACATGAGTCATGATTTATGTATGAGTAAGGTTTGGCATCATTTTTATTTTACAGCAATATACCATCCTGCTTGAATATAGAAAGAAATGCAATATTAGTCAGCACTTCTTTTGTTATTTTGAAGGGACACTCGATCCCTAACTGGTTGCCCTTGTCACTGCAGTGGTGTAATTTCAGCCCTTATAGCACATTCCAAAGACTTTTGGACATAGATATTGATTTGTTGTCCAGAAAATTGAGGCTTTGCAACTAAAATGTTCTAAAATGCAAAAAAAAATCTGGATGAAGGGTTCATCATCTAATAAGCAGATGTCAAGGGGATTATCCATTGAACTAATCCTGATCATAGTAAGTTGGGGTGCAGCCAGGGCCATACTTTCCTCACCAACTCATCCCCAATATATCAAGAAGATTGCCTTGAGTTAGCAGATATAGTCTGTCAGTCTGTGGCAGATTGGCACTAGCATAGCATCTGCTTTCTGGGAGATTAGATGTTAGCTGCCATGTTTTTTCGTACCGTCTGGTCTTGATGTCTAATCAGCAACAGCAGAAGGCTGAAAAGATGGCAGGACAGAAACTTGATTTCTTAAGTCCATCTTTGTTTCTCTCAGTACCTTCACAAGAAAATCTGAAATCTGACTTTTACTTTTTAAAATATCTGCTTTCTTTAACCTTAATGCTGACAGCTTGATTATAGTCTTTCACTGATGGCTCTTTCTGACGAGCTAATAGAGGACACAAAAGGAGCCTGTCTGCCCTTTTCCCTCTCTCCCTCTAATTTTTAAGTATTTCTGCAGACCTGAAGACTGACTCCCTTCTGATTTAGTCTCAAATCATCCTCAATGGTGTCGTTACGGTTTGGCGTTGATGTACACGAGTGCCTCTTAACCTGGTCTACTGGTATGCAGTAAAGGCTTCTAGAAATGAGACTGGCAAACTGAAAAATGAAACAGGCAAACCCAAAATGAGACAAGCAAACCAAAAACAAGACTACAAGACATAAATGAAAATGGCCAAGACTAAAATGACACTACCAAACCCACAACTTAGACGAGCAAATGATTACAGTAAATGAGACTAGTAAACTAAATTATTCCTTAAAATCTTTAAACTTGGAGCTGCTGACAATAGACCCATCTTTGGTTAGAATATGGTACGCATGTTACAGGGAACCTTGATGACTCCACCCTTATATAGACTGATTTTTGGGTTTCCTAGTCTCATTTTTGGGTTTGATGGTCTCATTTTTGGGTCTACAACTTTCATGTTTGTCAGTCAAATTTTTTGAGTTTTAAAATTTCAGTTTTTGTGTCTGCCGGTCTCATTTTTGTCCACGCTAGTCTCATTTTTGGGGTTTTTTGCTAGTCTAATTTATATGTTAGCTAGTCTAATTTTCTTGTTTGCTAGTCTCATTTTTGAGTTTTCTGGTATTTATTTTCAGTTTCTTATTGTAATTTTTGTATTTGTTAGTTTCATTTTTGGGTTTACTAGTCTCATTTTTGTGTTTTTTAGGCTCTTTTTTTTGTTTGCCAGTCTCTTTTTGGTTTTATTAGTGTCATTTTTGTTTGCCAGTCTCATTTTTGGGTTTGCTGGTCTGATATTTTGGTCTGCTAGTCTCATTTTTGGGTTTGTTGGTCTCATATTTTGGTCTGCCAGTCTTATTTTTGGGTTTGCTGGTCTCATATTTTTGTCTGCCAGTCTCATTTTTGGTTAGCTGGTCTCATATTTTGGTCTGCCATTCTCATTTTTGGGTTTGCTGGTCTCATATTTTGGTCTGCCAGTCTCCTTTTTGGGTTTGCTGATCTCAAATTTTGGTCTGCCAGTCTCATTTTTGGGTTTGCCATTCTCATATTTTGGTCTGCTAGTCTCATTTTTGGGTTCGCTGAACTGATGTGTGTTAGCTAGTCTCTCTGTTGAGTTTTTATGGTCTTTATGTTAACTTTGCCATTCTAAATTTTGTGTTTACTAGTTTATTTTTAAGTTTGTTAGTCTATTTTTATTTCTGGTCTCATTTTTGAGTTTGCATGACTATTTTAATTTGCTTGTCTGTACACCATGTTTGCAGTCCTTGGCCACTGTGTTTTTTACATCTGTATATTTCCCAAACAGAGCACACCTTATGGCCTAATGGGGACACAGATAACAGTTGGCCTGGTGTATTAATAAGCTTAATTCTCTCTGGTCTTTTTGCTTGTTTTCCCACCCATTCCTCAGCCCTTCCACTAAGCTCATAATGTCATTGTTATTTACTCTGACATCTTTAGTACTGCAGGTGATGGATAGCTACGGCGAGGCTGGTCTGTGCTCTATAAATAAATGTCCTTTCATATGGTTTGCGGTGGGAGTAATGAGTGGAGAATTTCAAATTTTCAATCCTTCTGGGTTGTAGGAGTTTGCTTTGCTAGTCCAGCGGCCTCTGCAGTCTTTAACTCAGGCCCTTCTTTTTGCACCCTTTCAGTGGCTTTGTTTCAGTTCTGCTGCAGCATTCGGCCTTGCCTGCAAATGAGCCCCATTGACAGAGCAATTATTCAGCATGGGGCAAGCCCTGCACCCTTTCTTGCACCTCACATATAAGCTCAAGCCTCATTTGCTGTCATGTTTGGATGTTTTGTGCATTCATAATCCTAGCGCCTCTGAGCCAAAAAAAAAAAGCAAATGAGATGAACACAGTGGTAAGAAAAAAATGTGCTTCTGGGGATTTTAGTGAAAAAAAAGCTCTTTGATCTTTAAAATCAATTCCCCCGGGGGGGACTTGATGGGCCTGGTATCCCTTTCAAATATGAATTAATGGGCAGAACATGGACACGTTTCTCGTGCTTAGACATAGGCAGGAACCCACCCATCCCCAACCCCCATTTCCACCCCTCCCCACTCTGATGCAGACACTGGTTTCAGCCCTGGCTGTCGGTGTGTATGCTGGTGGAGGGGATGCTAGGCGGCCAGCCGATTGGCTCACTGTTTGTCTGTGTGTGTGTGTGTGTGTGTGTGTGAGAAGGAAGTGTGGAAGCTGCAGCAGTGTGCTCTTGCCGGTAGAGCCGGCGTAGAAAAAACATCATTCATATCTGCGAATGCGCCGCTGCCCCAATGACTCTGGTTCTCTCTCCTCTGCCTCTCTCTCATCTGTTTTCTTCTCTTTTTTCTGCAGAAGCCGCTGGCCTCCCTTTGGTCCTTCCTTACAGACACAAAAAAACTGGACTCACCTCACCAGGTAGGCTGGTATATCCCTGCATCATCTTGAATATGCATGAAAAGAACTCAGCATTTATCCCATGGAGGCTTTCCTTTCTGCTCACCTTTTAAAGTAATCAACATATCTTCCTCCTCCTTCTTTTTATTTGCAGAAATTCAAATGACTCAATATATTTGCACCTGGTGACCTTTTGAAAACAACAGACTGAATATAGAGCTGATGTTCTGATAAGCTCTGGGCCGGTTCTGTCTGTCTAGACTGATTGTTCAGCTAACGCTCAGCTCTGAGAGCATATTATGAGACCTTTATAAGAAGTTTCTGCTTTTCACCTGGTTATCTACATTCAAGGCTTGGTTGCATATGCTTAACCGCCGGCACGTTGCCGGGCGAATAAAAAAGATGCTGAGCAAGAAGACAGGACAGTACGCGCTGTCAGGAGTGCTCAGACATCTCAGTCAGGGTGTGTTTTAAAGCAGGTGGTGATATGCTGATATAAAGCGTCATTTCAAGCCTGTAAACTCCTGGTTCGATCTAGTTTCTATCTTTGTTAACATTTGTAGTAGGAAGGAAATTTGAAATCAGTGTTTAGATGATTATTTTTTTCGGGGGGGTGCACCAATCCATATTTTTTCACTTTCGATTCCGATGCAGTAGGATATCTGTAGATCCCAATACTTCTGATACCAGACCTCTGCTTGCTTTACATGTCATCATCAACATTATTGTTGAGTAGGGGTGTCCTGATAGCACTTTTTTAATTCCGATATGGTATTTGATTTTGTAGCTTTGAGTATTGACTGATACCGTTATTTAACTGATACAGTAACAGCATCAATAATACATTCTTTTATCACTCATTTTGTAGTGTGGAACATTAGACAAAGCTGGATGAAGTGATATGACTCCAACAAAGAGCAATAGTCAACAACTGACCAATTGAATATTAGTTAGTTAATTGATTATTATCAAATTTATTTTATTCAGATTGAGTTTTACAAATTGCATTCTTTAGAGACAACATTTTCCCTGCTTCAGGCTCAATTCAAATGCTAAATTGACACACATAATTACCAATACAATGTCGTTGCTTGTGTCCTTATGGTCCAATTGGCTTCTCATTCTAGAGAAAACCAAAAGAATGTGATCCTATTTTAAATGTGAAAAATTTGAATAATTACTCTAATTTATATCCATTCATAAGAATTGGGTTTTTTCAGGCCTCCAATTACATTTTTTTCACTGCTTGCAACAAAAAATTGATAAAAATGTACTCTATACAAGCTAACTAACCAAGTAATTCTATGACCTCTTAATCTGCTAGTCAAAAGTGGTCTGCTAGCAGATTCCCAAACATGGAGACAGACTGATTCACTTTGCAACATTACATTGTGGCAAATCCAGGGGTACTAAACCTGGAAGTTGCAGGTCTAGCACCCCTAGAGGCTAAAATTTACACAGTTACACACATGGTGTCCGCAACATTACCAATTAGCCATAGTTTGTTTGCAATCATTTCTCGCTTTCTGACACAATAGGTTAAGGTTACACAAGCAGAAAAACTTACCGACTTCCTGCAGGTATGTCCCTGTTTGGTGAAAATAGAGACAGGTGTGGTGATCGCAAGGAGGCTTAATATTAGCCCCTCTCTAAAAATTACATGAATCAAGGAGGAAGTCCAAAATTGATCCCATTCACAGTCAGGATTGTCCATCAGGTTCTAACTCAAGCCCAACACCAACACACTTTTTAACATGAAATAGTCAGATTTCCCAAGTGATTCCTTTATGGTATTTTAACCCAATGCAGAGGAGGGATTATTGGACGTTTTGTGAAGTATGTGTGCCCATACAAAGCATGGAGGGTTGCATAACTGCAAAGTTAGAAATCTAGATCGAAATCGTGGGAGGACTTTTAAAGGCACCAACTGGTTGATCATTTTGCAAATCGCCCACATGAAGTTATTTCCGCCACCTTAATGAACATCGAATTGTTTCGCATTATATTGAAAGTACTAATTTGTCCTGTGTTGAGGACAAAAACACAACTGGGATTGCTAGGAGTAATCAGGATCCATCACATCTCCACTAACATGTTGGCCCACGCTCCCTCCGCCCTTCTTCTCTGCCCGTCTCTGTTTCCGTCTGCCTGGAAGGTTGCTGGGCAGCTCCCAGGCGAACTGTCTCCTCTCTGTAAACCAAACTCGAGGTGACGCACAATGGTGTAGGACTGGACGATAAGGGGGAGCAAACATGCCCTCCTTCTGTCTTCTTTCTTTTTTTACGGGGGAGTCCTGCCTCACCCCTCCTGTATTTCCAGCTCCATCATCCAAGTTTGTTGTTGTTTGGATGTGAAGAGAATGATCGAGTCAGTTAAACTGTTGTTACGTCTGCATAGCGAGAGCCGTGGGAGGCAGAAACATTGCTTTAGAGTCAGTTACGCATACAGTATACTCCTAAACACTGTTATTCAGCAATGCATTTCAATGCCATAAATGTAGGTGTTTGAAGGGTGCCAAGTGTGGAAAACAAGGCTTTTATTTCCCTTCCACAACTCTGTCACTTTAACATGAGTTTAACATCAGTTTTCCCTGCCATTCAGCCAGTGCAGACTCAAGCTACAATAAAATCGTCATCGAAGAAGGTGTTACAAATCCTTGTATACTCATAGAGGTACTTGGCAAATGTGTGGGAAGGTGGCAAAGCAGGAAATCTGTAGAAATAACACATCTTGATGCAAAAACTCAGATTACAGTTACTGTACAGGCTTTTTTCCCCCATTCTTGGGTATTCCACTATGATCACAAGGCTTCTCAAGAAAAAACATTGTCTGAGTGTGCACTGAAATGCCCTTGGAATCATTTAGTTAAGTTCTGTCTGAGTGGTAATGCAGATCTATACCTGAACTCCTCAGACGTAGAGCTTTCTTGCAAATAAAACACTCCATCTTCTACTGTCTACTTGTGGATCAGCGATATGAGAAGCTATGTCTAGCAGCCTTTGGGGAAATGACGAGGTACACCCTATAGAGGCCATCAGGCCATTTCAGGAAATACAACCATACCCACACTCTAACGAACCAAACTCCCATGTGTTTGGACTTTGGATCGAAGCTGGAGTACCCAGAGAGAACCTAAGCATGCACAGGGAGAACATGACAACTCCATGCAGAAAGACTCTTGGCTGGCATTACAACCCAAAACCTTCTTGCTGCAAGGGTACCAAAGGCAACAAATTGCTATATCATGCAGCAATCTTGCTGACGGGGTCAGTTGTACAGAGCCCAGGGTATGAGGGAACCCTGAACGACATCCAAGAATTTAACCTCTGACCAAGATTTGCCTTTTTCACAAAACATACCTGTAAAGATATGCATAGGCTTGATATCCATGTTAAATAGATTAATGTTCTTGCCCCTATGGTATTGGGGAAGTACATTCCTACCCCCATTCCCATAAAATGTTTTGGCTGTCGATGCAGCTTCTTTGAGTTTTTTAAACTGCTACAGTTAAGTACAAAATGTCTGCTGATCTACGATTAGACACAAGGAAATGTGGCGCCTGAATCTTGTTCTCCACTCTGGCTCATTGGATCTATCACTTTGATGTAGAGCCGCAACTTTCATCTAAGGAAGAACCCTCAACAAAATTAGTATCCTTTTACCTAAGAAAGTTTGAGGTCAACTTGAAACCTGTCCCAAAAGCAGAGGTCAGTTGATAGGACTCGTTGTGACTGCAGTGGGTATGAAATGCCATAAGTACCACAAATAAACCGGGGCTATATCTCCATAGGAGGAGTCATCAGAAGACTCCTCCTACCCAGATGCACCACAGAGCGCCACAGTAAATCATTCCTACCTGTGGTCATCAATCTATATAACGCCTCCCTTAAGTTATTCAGACCCCCCCCCCCTCCCCCCCGTAATTTACATTTATGCACTATTTTTGCACACTACGTATCACTTTACTTGGATTTTCACTTTATTTGGATTTTGTTTTTACATATGCATAGATATACGTACAGATATATATACAGAAGAGCTATATGTGTATATATTTTATCTCTTTTTATTCTTATTTTTTATCTTTATTATATTGTATAGTTGGATGTGTGTATATATTATAAAAAAAAATGTAACTGGAGCATGTAACAAAAGTAATTTCCCTCTGGGATTATTGAAGTATTTCTGATTCTGATTCTGATTGGTGAATATTAAAAAGAAAAAAAATGACTTTAAATCAGTGCATCGAATGAATTTGAATATTAGATTTTCTCAAAGTTATTTGTTTTTCATCATTTAAATTATTAGTCATTCGAGGAAAAAAAACATGTTTTTATATAATTGCAAAAAATGAAGAATTTCTTTCATCTCTTGCTTTTCAAATCACAAAAAAAAGTAAATCATCATGACTTGGAATTGTAAGGGGCGCTACAGTTGACTGTCATTATGACCTTTAGCACAGGAAGCTAAAATCATATAAAATGATGCGTATTTAGTAATTACTTTAACTAATATTTGAATAGATTTTTCTATTAGATTCCCCATTACTATGTTGATTGAACAATAAAGACTTTATATATGAATGTCAAAGGCCCACCTAAGGCTGTCCACCTCATATGACATTACAGTTAATCACCCAAACATAAATAGAATTTGTGAAAGTAGATTCTGAGAACCTCATAACAGCTCTTCTTCTGCACAGCAGTGGAGCTTTAATGGTTTGGGACTTCTTTGCTCAGATTTTATTTCTGTCAACTGTTCAGATTAAATGAAAATACAGGAGAAGTATAAATACATCAATTCGTCTATCTGTGACTTCAAATGCCACATATTGCGTGTGCTCATTAGCGCCCTCTTTCTGTTCGGAGGGCGTCTCCTCCAAACCTGTCCAGATAAGAGAGAGAGGGAAAAAAAATTTAAAAATGCTCAGCTTCTGCAGCCCTGCTAAAATATTACCCCATGCTCACATTCCTGACACTAAAAGAATGTCGTAGGAATTAAATTGCCGCCTCCAGGCTACA